TGTGTGTGCGTGTGTGCGTGCGTGCGTGTGTGTGTGTGTGTGTGTTTAAACACGTACTGTAAAGATGATTTCAGAAATTGACATGCATGTGAAAAGGTCGTCACATTAACATACCCATAGAAGGAGCCAGTATAGACATTTTGCCAGGAACGCTGATGGAAATACTATCTACGGTATTCACATTAAGGGGTCTCCGGTTTATGGTGCAGTTTCATTCCTAAACCGACCACATAACCAAAGTTTGTATGGAAGCCAAACACGAAATATGTTAACCCAGTAGTCAACTCATAATTATAGTAAGTATGTGGAAGAAAAAACACTTTAAGTCATGAACATGATCCAATCAAATGAAAGAACAGCCAGTCCAGCAGCGAAAACTGAGATCGCTTTCTTGTACTGCATGAACAGATTCTTACACTGTACACCGTTTTTAACTTCATCTGACAAGACTGCCGAACCCTCTGTTTTTGCAGATATCAATAGTATTGTCGATAAACCAAAATCAAATGGAATTGCTAACAGGCTGTAATGTTTTTACCCGCTCACATTTCCTGCTTGTGGAGTGCAATTTTCATTAGTAATTACCTTGCTGCTGATTTGACGCTCTGATATGAGATTGGGACATAGTATTGAATCACATAGCATTTGAAGTTAATTAGCTGCCACGCTGACCTCCTCATTGAGTCGACAGTATGAATCCAGACCCCTTTCAGATAAACTCACCATCAATATGGAACGCAAACACACTCTTAATTTAGCAGTTAATTTCCTTCAATTTGCTTTTATCAGCACTGAAATAGGAAATGGGCCACAGAGGGTTTGAGATTGACAGACACATAATCGTCAAATCTGTATTGTCACAGAGAGGAGCTCTAATTTTAGCCCTAATAAACAATCAGTCATGATGTAATGAATCACAACATGTGAAAAAAAAGATGTCAATCACATTCTAAGCAAAGTGGCTTTGGAGAATGCTCATAAAGGTGTGTTGGTTTTGGGCAAAGCACACATCTAAGAAGCTGACACCATGGCCATTTTTGGGTACCCATAATTGCCAAATTTGCATTTTTTATTTGATTTTTTTTTTCCGATTGGCATTTTGACTCAGACTTGCAGTGTTTATGTGGTGAAAGTGTCAGTGGAGTCATGCTGAGGGACTGCGTTACCCCTCCTCAGTCTCAGCTGCAGTGGTGAGGTCCAGTAATTGCATATTTTAAGGCTGCACAGGCAGAGCTGAAACCCATTCCGCTTTCCCAAAGAAAACAAAGATGTAAGTCTTTAAATCTTCTTGGCAACATAATAAAGCCTCGTAGCAGGTAAAAGGAAAATTCTTTAGCACCTTGATTCAAAAAAACAAACAAACAAACAAAAAACGGCATCCATGTCTTCTCACAGATTGCAGCTGTTCCAGCTGTGCCTGGGGCACCACCTCCACCACCACAACCGGGAGGTGCCGCGGCACCGCCGCCGCCGCCTCCTCCTCCACCACCTCCCCCGGGCGGCTGTCCTCCACCACCGCCACCTCCTCTGCCCGGCCATGCCAGCGCTCCACCGCCTCCGCCGCCGCCTCCTCCTCCGGGTGGGGGGCCACCACCTCCACCGCCGCCGCCCGGGTGCGGGCCCCCACCCCCTCCGCCTTTCTTTGGGGGCCGGGGTGGGCCTCCTCCACCTCCTTCGATTCCTGTCCTCAAACTGCCGTATGGACTTCAGCCCAAGAAGGTTTACAAGCCCGACACGGTGATGAAGAGAGTCAACTGGAACAAGGTACGCGGAGACTACACTCACTGCACCTTAAATCATGAATAATAGAAGCTGGAGTTGTATCACCTCAATTCAATCACCTGAAAGCTTGTCGAGTATGTTGAAAATATCCAACTCATTGAGCATCTAACGCATTGACTTCACACCTTTGGTTTACTATTTCTTTGACTTTTTGTATTTTGGCGGGGGGGTGCCAACAGCACACCACAGAAGGGTACACACGATGACAAACGGGAAGGATCAGTGTGATGATGAGCATTTAACAGGAAATACAGCAATGCGACGAGCAGCATGATGCGGTACACACGTCTGGGTCACGGCTACTCAGAACAAAATGGCTAAAGTGACAATGTAATAATATCGTATACCTTATTTGCGATGCCACCAGAGGAGGGTACATCAAACATAAAGACAACGACAGAATGCACATTGAAAAGTAAGGTTTGTTTGGTCTTCATGTGAAGAGCCGTAACTGCCCAGGCAGACGCAGAAATTTGCCATTGTGCGCCCGGCCTTAAAATGCCATCAACGTTGTTAACTTAGTTCTTTGTATTTAAATGGTGATTCTTAAAAAGCAGCACCGGTTGAAGTCAACACCTGTGTCTTGTTTTATTTTCATTTCACGATATAGCAGTTAACTTAAACTGCATACCTTCCATGAAGGCTTTAGAAAGAAAGAAGCGGTCGCAAGGATCCCAAGGTAAACAATCCTTTCCCCTCAAACGCCCTCAGAATGGAAAATTGTGATCATAACTGAATCAAAACAGTTATATTTCCATGCCACCTCATCAGAATAACCATTTTTAACTTTAGGCCAGTGTCACATTCTGACACACTTAAATTGACCTTTTTAAAAAGCCATATATGCAAATGTATTTTGGATTCCTATACATGCACTAACAAGCGGATGTTTTATGGTGCCAGCGATAGAACATTTGCTATTTTGCCTTCTCAGCTGAATCTTATGTATAAAGTTACATATATTTATGATCGTGTCACTGTGATTAGTCCATGTTCAGGAGTTGTGGTGCGCATTGAAAAATACCTTTGCTTTGCAGGAAGAGTGGTTTGGTGATGCAAATGAAATTCATAAGCACCGGAGGACAAACAATGTATTGTTTTGACAGGCAAAACAGTCTCCTGCCTTCATAGATTTGAAGTGCACGGGTGTCGGCGGCAAATGTGAATTAGTTGGATAAAGTTGTAGTTATTTTTCATCGCAGTTCCATCCACAGTTTGTCCTGCCAGAGCACGAATCAAACAACTTCGCAAAATAAGTTCGAGGCAATTACTAAATCATAGCTCCGCATATAATATAGTATAGTAGGGCCCGTGAGTAGTTAGAATCGTGAAAGTGACAAAGCTGCTGACATCAGAATTGGATTTAATCATACACATTTGTCTCCACATAATTTGGATATGCCTTCCAGTTTGTCGTGATGTGGTGGCACTGTGACGAGTTATTTCCATGTTTGAAAAACACACCGACGTTATGACGCATTTGGGGTAATATCCGCTTTCTACTCTCTATCGCCAATAGAACGCATTATCAGTCACAAGTAATTGGAGTGAGAAAAAAAAATAGTGTCGCATGCCATTGCGCGAGTCTTTTTTTTTTTTTTTTGCACAGTTTGTTTGAAACTCTACCATATATCTGTTAGAAATTTTCAGTAGTGAAGTTCCTAGCCTTTAGGCTTTTTTGTTGTTTTTCTCACAAGCTTCTATTTCCATCAATATTGTAACACCATATTTTCAAGACTAGTTTCAGTGATATGCACCCTTTGGGCAAACATCAGTGGCACATACGCTGCAAAAATGTAAACATCAACAAGATAAAATACCTTGAAACAAGGGGGACTGTGCTTGTTTTTGTTCTGATATGATATTGGCTTTTATTCTTACTTTCGGAACACATTTCCAAAAATGAGAAGTTCTATCAAGGCAAATAATGCTATGAGTTAGTTTAATGAGCTGAAATATGGACCTCCTATCCAGAATTGTGGCAATTATTTTTATATTCCTATTGAGGCAATTTTTTGGGGTGCTTTCAAAGAAATGAGATTTACTTAAATTACTTGGCGAGGCCGAAAATTTCGCATTCACTTTGTGTGATTTCTTCCACAAAATGAAAAAGGTTCAATTAAACATGTTCTTGTTTTACTCCAAATTACAGTACCAAAAATGCACTTTGGCTACTTCGATTAGGTGAAATCAGTGATTTAGCCATCTCCAGCTTGCTTGTGGTAGCCACTTTATTTTTACCATTTTGTTTTGATTACGGATGAACTTTACATTTTTTTTTTCTTCCCTGACCATTTCTGTTTCCTCATACAATACTTAAGGCTGGATTAATGCCACTGGTTGCACTGACAAAATTCAGGAAAAAAAAAGAAAAAGGGTGACATGATTTGAATATGCTTTTTTTTCTTTTTTTTTTAAACCAGAGAACTCATTTTTGGGTACTGATCACTCCAAATGATTACCTGTTTGATACACACTTCTAAAATCATAAATTTGCTCAAATTGCTATAGCTTAGTTCCAGCTGCCTAATGAGGCCAAGCACTAAAATGAATGGATGAATAGAATCAGATATCTTTAAATCTGAATGAGGTCTCTTCAAAATTTGGATACAGATGTGACATTTTAATATTGGCGAATTCAGAAAGCAGCCTCAACTCAGAGATAGGAAATTCCCTGCAAATCCCATCTTGATCTCATGGAGATAAACCACTACAGAAAGGTCAGTCATCAACACAAATACACACATTAAATAACTCCCACCGTCAATCTTGATTACAACGTAAGTGGAGACAATTAAATCGTGCAGTAATGCAGTTAGCCTTGAAATCAAAGGGAGGTAAGGGGAAGCGTAGGCCAACGAAAGGCTACATAATGTGTAACATTTGAATGCATTCAGGTTTAGAGTGTTCCCCTACTGTTGGCAGGGGATAGGGACCAAGCCCAGCCACACATTTGGAAAATCTGTCTACAGATGCTCCATTTAATTTTTTTTGGGGGGGGGGGGTCTTGTAATCAGGGTATGAAAATGAAACCCCTCCCATCTCTTCAACATAGTTCCTTGGCAACAAGATCCCACAAGATGGTGCCGAAGCAGTACGATATATTGCTTTATTTTAGACAGAGCTTTGGCCCGAGCACAAAAAAAAAAGTACGTTTGATTTTATCAACAAATAACAGATGCCACGTTCTGAATCAAGGCCCAATGTTAACACTAATGATTTACAAGCAATTAGGGCATCTGCACATGCTTATTATTTCATATGTTCGATCAGTGTCAAACCCCTCCTATTGGATATAGGCGATGACACACGCGTTAAATACACAGTCACAAAAGTCAGATATAGCCACTGGGCGTTTGTTCCTGCAGAGTGACTCCAGTCAAAAACAAGGACATGGGTGACTGTGTGTGTGTGTGTGTGTGTGTGTGTGTGTGTGTGTGTGTGTGTGTGTGTGTGTGTGTGTGTGTGTGTGTGCGAAAACACACACCCTATCCAGTGAGACTTTTTTTGAGTGGCACTTTTATGCGCTCTCCGATTGGGCTGATAATGGAATCCTTGTGTTACTTCAGATAGTGCCGCAAGAAATGGCGGAGAATTGCATCTGGATCAAAGTGAAAGAGGAGAGGTTTGAGAATCCCGACCTGTTTGTTCAGCTCTCCCACTGTTTCTCGTCACAGAGCAAAGGTAAGAAAGGAGGCACTGTCTCACCTTTTCGCTTCTCCCCAGCCCCCACATGCATGGCCCTCCTTGCTTAATTAATCTCCTCGTGCGCTTCATTTAGCATCTCTGTCTAGCCACTTTAATCCCATGACAGTTTTTTTTTTTCCTGAAATATTAATTACAGCAGTCAGTTTGTCCTTAATTCTCATCATTGTGCCAATTAAGGCTAGCAATGCTCCTGCTGCAGGGTGTTCATATATGTTTTCTCTCAATGTGCGTTGTATATGTTCGTTCTATCTTCGAGGAGCATTTTTCCCATCAGCATTCTGTGTGGGCAGACAAAGAGGATGTTTGACCCGAGAAGATCTATGTTTGGTTTGTTCCTTGCCTTTCTTAGTCCAGCAAGCCAGTCGTCCATTGAAGATGTTTTTTTCTTCTTGTTTTTTTTTTTTCGCTCTGGGATGTTTGCTGCTCTGATTCATTTTTTTTTCACCAAGGCTTCCTAACTTGCGGCTGGATAGTAAAGAAAACTGTACAGATAGGCTTTATCTATGGATGGAATTGTGTATGTGGAAGCACTTTGCTTTCATGGTGATGTGATGTGTGATCCCCCTATTTGACAGTGTGTGTTTGTGTAGTTGACCCCAATAATTCTAGCAGCAGTGGAGAGAGAAGTTCAAGCCCTGTCAAGTGCTGAGCAGTCAAATGTCAGCTTTGTCAGGCTATGCGGACATAACTATAACCAATCCTTCAGCCGTAGCCATACACTCAACGTCTGTTTGGACACCAACAGCTTTCTTACAGCCTCTGGGTTTTCACCCAAAGCTGATCAATCTTTTTTTTTCTATACATCTCTGAAATAAATAGGCATTTTGCTTCGATAGCCGCCAGGTGATTTCCTGACATAATACAGATGAAAAGGGAGTAGGCTGTAGCGAGGCTTAATAAAGTGGCAGGGACAAGCTCACCGGCCATATTTCACTTGAGGTTATCTGTCAGAAACCTTTTTTTCTGAAATTGACAATCGACTGCATACCTGTAGACATCTTCTTGCAATTTGTTTTCTTTACAATTTAGGACATTTCGGATAAAACAAACAAAACATTTTTGTGGCAGCACGGCAGCCTAGTGGTTAGCGTGTGTGCCTCATGGTTGGAGTTTTTGGGTTCAAATCTCAACTCAGGCCTTTTTGTGTGGAGTTTGGATGTTTTCCTGATGCTTGTGAGTCTTTGGTTACTCGATTAGTGATGAATGTCCTCTGGATTTTCCCGGAATTCTGGATATTCAAATTTTCATGAAAATTCCTCTGGAAAATTGAGTAAAAATTGCCTAAAATTAATCCGGATATTCGTTGACAAAATTGAACGAACACGCGTTTGAGTTCGTTGTTTTGCTTTCATGAGCGTAGCCATGTTGAGGCACTAACACTAGAAACACTAACACCCCTCCCCTCACATTCTCATGGCCTCGCCATATCTCGGAGATTTTGCAATTTCGGCTAGAACGGAAGCCACAAAGGGTGCACGTGTGCACACAAAAAACAGATTAATCATTGAATGTCGAGTATTTGAATAGCGTTTTGTGTAAACTAATTTATGCGTGATCGGCCAGGTACGGCCCCAGCGCAATGTTCAAACAGGTAGACATGCAAGCTGACATACGTGCAATAGACGCGAGTGTTAGGAACAAGTTCAAGTGGTCATGGCTTGAGGAAAACGGACCTGAACGGAGATTTTTGTCCGACTACACTAGAAAGATCGACAAAACTGGTAAGTCAGTTTTGCTCGCATTTGTATTTTCAGGAAAGTCCACTTTCATCTCTGCTCGATACATGTTGATAAACCTGCGATTGGCTGGCAACCTGTTCAGGGTGTAAGCCACCTACTGCCCCGAGACACCAGGGAGCCAGCTTGCCCGCCGATCCTTGTAAGGTTAAGTGTATTAGCAAGTGGATGGATGGATGGATGTGAATCAACCTAATTGTTTCTTGGCCATTGCCTCAATTCTTCACCATGTTTTGTTGCAGAAACTAACAAACGAATCAGCAAAAAGAAAAAAAAAAGACGAGGGAATAATTGCCGATTTCAGACTACAGCTCAATATGGAATCATCATTTCAATTTTGCTTTAAATGACCTAGTATAATATTTATTAAAATTATCTTTCTCCCCTTGGGGCTTAAAAAAAGCGCCATAGGTAGACCCTATTCCCGCAGGCAGAATAATAATTTACGATCCAGCGTTTCCCCTGTGCGTTACTCTTTGCTGGATCCCTATCAATTACCCCTGCAGCAACTTCCCTGCATCAGCTCTCATGCCAGGATTGTTAAAACAGAACATGATTTTGGCATGAATGAAAAATGCTGTTTAACGTTTGATAAGGGAGCCCACTCAAGAGGCGGTGGAGCCAGCCAGGGTGGCTTTGTGTGGAAAATGCTGAAAATGTGTCACAATGTGTGGCATACGAGGCTCTTATTGTAACCTCAGCCTTTTGCAAGCATCGTCTTTCTGCTGATTCAACAGTTTAAAAGCAGACTTCACGGTTGGATCCTATTTTACATTAGGATAAACAATTCATGTTTAAAAAAAAAAAACAAAAAAAAAAAACTTGTGTGATCTTGGAGGTAGCTCTTCATGCCCAATCGGTGTGTGTCTCTGTGTATCACAAAGGCTGAGGCAAGCAGGTGGAAATGCATTCCCTGCAGAGCTGGCCTCCGTAAATGGTGCATAAAAGCATCTGTAGAAGCCACATTTCTAAGTGTTACAATACAAAGGAATGAAACAAACACAACGACAATCCTGAATTTTTCTCATCTTTATTATGAGTAGAAGTCTCGAATAACCCCCCCCAAAAAAACAAACCTTTTTTTTTTTTTTTGTCTCTCACTTTCAAGAAGTGGAACTGATCCAATTGTCAGATCAGCTAAAATATCAAAATGGAGCTAAAATATCAAAATGGATAATTTTCTTCCCTTTCAAAAATGCCCAAATCAATTGTGGGGGGATGACATTTGTGATTCACATTAATATTAATTAGCTAATGCTGCAATTACTTATCATCAAATGTCCATCTATCCGTTTTCTCTACATCCGAGCCTGTTCAAGGTCACAGGGAGATGAAGTCGATCTGAGCTCACAATTATATATATAAATATTTGTCAAACAACCTCGCATTTGGTTTGTCAGAACTGATTAACAACAAGAAGGGTGCTGCTGTTTGGACTGTGTAAGACAAATAATCTTGCATATTGTTAACTTAAACACAACACAATGGTAAAGATAAGTCAGTTTTTTTGGTGGTGTGTTTGGTTGTCTGAAACATAGACAAAGAAATGCATTTTTGGTTTAACTCTCTCTCGACTCAGCTTTATTTATAGAACACTTACAAGAAACAAAAAACACTTTCACAGAAGTATTCTATACATAAAAGTGAACATAAAAGAGAGACGGCCAGAACCGGCCTGGTAATACACCGGCTGTTTGGGAAAATTCACGATGTGCCCCCCCCGCCGCTCAGAGGGGCTGAGTTGTTTTGCACACCTCACTTTTCATTCTTCTGTGTCCCCCCGTTTTTTTTTAAATATTGCATACATTTTGTTCCTCTTCACGATTGTTTCCCAGTACCTGTCATTCAAGGACTCATAGATACATTTAAATACATATTGAAACAATAGATTTGTTGTGAAATACACAGAAATGTGCATACACGAATGTATGAAATAGTTTATATTATCACTGATTAAGCAATATTGCTGACTGTCCATCCATCTGCGATCGTAACTTCGTTGGGGTCCCAGGTGATCTGGATCTCCGCTAACCTTTCGAGTTAATGCCAATAGGCGAATGTCTTCCTTTTTTAAAGACCATAGAATGTAATGTCACCTTTGACACCTTCAAATGCTCCAAGATCGAAAAATTGTGACCGCCGACCCACGGTACATTATCAGAGCCCCTCATCTCTATTTGCTCTCATCTTTTCAATCTTTGTGCAACACATGAAATGGTCCTTTGAGAACAACCTGGCTGTGTCTTATTGAAAGAGTTTGTTACTCTTGCTTCCTCTCCCTTTTTTTTAATGCTTCTTTTCTTCCTCGCCCACATTGCTTTCCTTCTTAACACTCTTCTTCTTCATTTCATTGACCCCCCCCCCATCCATTCCGACTTGGCTTGGCTTTATCAATCAGTGGGTTTTGCCTTTGTGCCGCTCTCGGGATCAAATCAGATTCACTCCAGGATTGAACGCGTGTTGCCGTGGTCCGCTGCATTTGACAGGCAATCCATTCAGCTGGAACTTTTGCACTTCAATTTGGAATAAGATGAATGCCGGTAAACTTGGCAGCCCCCAAAATGTTTCCTCCGTTGCCTCACATCTACGGCTGACGGACATGGCTCCCTTATACAATGTTGTGACAGATTGAAACTGAAATCCCCCCCGCATTACGCCTCGTGTATTCATTATGCGTCTTTGACAATAATGAGTATTGATTACATACAAGCTTTTGGGGATGCCGATCAGGTTGTAGCCATAAATATATCCCATCAGACTTTTAAGCCTTCATTATGGGGGCTCATTGATGTTGCGAGCCACATCTCATCCTTTCCTCCCTTCACCTTTGATGATGCATAATTCATGGGGGGGGGCGAGACTGCCCTTGTCAAATGCCTTCTCACCTGCTTGAAATACTCACTTTGGCTTGCCGGACTTATGGGAGGCCCGTCATGAATTGTGCTTGTGTAAACAAGCTCAACTTAAGCCGCTGTCGCATATTTCTTCGTCGGAGGTGACCAATGTCTTTGCTGCCTCTCCTTTCCTTGTTTGGGTATTTCTTCTTATCATTAAACCCCACCCACACAGTGCCACCACCAGACTGTTTGTATTCTTCCCCTTCTTCTTGCAAACATCATTAATCCGCTCCCACGTAGCTGTAAATTCTCCAGACACTAAACAGCTGTGCTCGCAGACAGCCTCATGTAGTTCATTCATTGTTGTGCTTGGGAACTGGCAGGTTTATGTCTCTTTAGTTTA